TCCGCGCGGCAGACGTTGGATTGGCGGGGAGGGTAGTATTAGGAAAAGGTGAAGAATAGGTGGTGTGAAAAGGAAGAGTAAGGTAACTTAGGGTAGGAAATAGGAAATGTAGGATATTACCGTCCAGGAAGGCAAGGGATAGGACAGTAATAGCTAGGGAAGCCGGGGTCGCATACCCGTATACTATACCACAACTACCGAACAGGTAAATTGGGATGAGTATCCCACGGCTACTTGTTTTATTTCACTAAATAATTATTGTAGGAGGGATTTTATTATCGTGTTATTAATTTATTATTATTTCAATAGATAATAAATTGTTCAAAATTCCAAATCATAAACATGCGACTATCGATTGCAAGCTCTATCGAATAGAAATAGATTCATTAACGATTACATATCACCCCATCCCTATAGAGGTTGTCCTGTCAGAATTATCAAGCTAAAGGAGTTTTGGCGGGAACTTGACCAGCGGCGGTTTGCTGCTCCTATATTATTGTTTAAATAATGGTTTGAAGTGGACTTTGATATGTAACAGTGGTGCGATTTTGTGTATTAATTGTCTACGCATGTGAACTATTAGTGGAAACAGTGAAACAAGTGCTCTGATGGTGATGGATTCTCAAGATAAGCTGTTTGTTTGCATAGGCGCCTTTAGGTACCATCGCCAACTGTCAGCTGTCTGCTGGATCAAGTTACCGTCAAAATCTCCCAAGAACTGCACAATGTGACGCATCAACATATTGTGAAGCAGTGAACTATGAAGGATAATTACAAAAGACAAGGCTGTATGGCATAGTTCCTTTGCCTGCTCTCTCGAGCGAATAATAAAAACAACAACAACATATCAAGCTAAATTTGACAGAGGTGGTAGACATGGGCAATGTGTATCACTTTAAAGAAAAGATTGATATGTATCTTTTGATCACTGGGATATGTATCACTCTTTTATATCTTTATGTATCAGTAGCTCAAGTTCGCGCGCACGACACGCATTGCATTATATTGCGCTGCTCACTCAGCATGGCTCGCTTCGCTCAACTCAATCCTATCAGTAAGAGTGATAGATAAGTACCTATAGAGCTGTTTGCATTTTGCTTGGTCGTAACATTGTGTATCTTTCTAATATATTTGGCTGCTGTTTGTTTCTAGGTATCTATTTGTTATGATTAAAAAATTGAAGTTTTCTTATTTCTCAGACATCCTCCCGATGTTTTCCTTCCCCGCCGAGCACGTGGTAAATCAGCACTTAAAATTGCAATTAACAATTTCATTGGTGCCGGCGGGCATCGAACCCGGGTTGCTTGAGTACTGTGAAGCTTACAGCGAGCGCTAACCATCTGAGCCACCACGGCTCACGGCTCACCTATACGTAGTTAAATTTATTAAGTAAAATTTAGATTCTTAGGTTGGCGTATTTAGAAATCAGTGGCTATATACAGTGATTTTTTTAATTATTATTTTCAGCATCATTTACATATATTCATATCGTTTTTTTATACATACTTATACTTATTCAAATGTCAGAGTTGCAAATTATGAATACTAGTAGAGAGACTTTAAGCCCTATGCACAAGTCATAGAGTTATCAATTTACCTTTTTGTGCCGACGTAGGACAGTTTAGAATGGTCAAACAAATCACTCTCTCCGTCTTGCGAAAGCGCGACAGAACATTCTAAATAATGAGGTGCGAAAGAAACGTCTGTACTATGGACTTTTTTAAATCTTCCTGGAATGGCCGACTATGCCGGCCGAGGTATATTATAAAGCACCGTGCGCAATGTGCGACACAGATGTTAGATAAAAAATGCCCTGAGTGAATGATTTGTAAAGATACACTGATACAGTGATACATTCGGATGCGGATTGATATAAAGAGTGATTGATGGAAACTTTTGTATCTATCTCTCCTGAGTTACCCATCTCTAAGTGGTGGTTTTTAGAACTAAACGTAGTGATTATATTCTCTTTGTTTAGAACCACAGCACAAACTATATAGAAACACTAAGAACTTCCTGTCATATAGTGTATTATGGAGGTGGGCAGAGTGTATCATTTTTGGGATTGGAACATTTGCATCTTGATCACTGAAATGTTCCGAAACACTGAAATGTATCATTTGGCTCATTTGTATCATCGCCGCAAAAGATATAAAAGAAAGAATGTTCCGAATAGGTACATTAAGTTGCGTCGCGGGCGTTTATTACTGACTGATCCGTGCAATATTATGTGGCAACCAAGCTGAATAATATAAGTGCTTAGATTATTTATTGTGTACCCTAATAAGATTGTATATAAAATCGATTCTCCTTCATACTTTAACAAAAATGTCACTATGTCAATTCATTATTTACAAAAATGTCCATTTACACAAAACATGTACACAGAAGTTACTCGTAAAAGTCACAATAATCACTACGCAAAGAAATCCTAAACATAACTCAGTATGTTTTCGTAAACAGGCGCTAATGAATACAAACAATTTGACAAGTGCCGCATCAACGTAAAATGTCAACTTGTTAATGCAAACGTTACATACAAAAAACGACCGTATAGTATTTGACACATAAGCGCCTTAGTGGTAATTTTTACGTGCATGAATAACGTCAGCGAAAATCCGTACGAGTTGAGGATACACTTCTTATTTGTTATCTCTATCTGACTTGTGTGGATTATAATTATTTCGCTCGCTCACTCGCCACTCGTGAGTAAATAGTTAAGTTAATCATTGTCTCAGTCTCTCTCTCTCGCTCGTGGCTCAGTCGCCTCGCAAGCGACGCGTCGCGCGAAATGAGCAAAGAGCAAAGTAATGTTTCACTGTTCCAGATACAAATGATACATTTGAAACGTTGTTACTGAACCAAGCTTTTGTGTCACTTCAGTGATTCGTATCAGTGAGTCGTTTCCGTAAAGAGATACACACGCCTAGTGTATTATCTATGCACAGAACACTATTACCCGCCTAAGGGTATTAGTGTTCTGTGCGCCTAAGGGTATTAGTGTTCTGTGGTTCTGTGACTATTACTCCCTGGTATACAGTAATCTGTGTATTACTCCTACGGAGTTTAGAACAATATAATATTTACTATTTAGTAATTTATGTAGTATGTACAAATTAAAAAATAGCAGTTAATGTTGTGCAATATAAAGATAGGATTAAAAGATGTTTACACAAACTATCTAGGAACACGATATAGATCAGTTAAAAATTTTAGGATATAATATGTTTGAATATACAACTAGATTATACGTTTGAAATGACCAAATTTTGTATTATATGTAAAAAGAAATCAGTTACTGGTGATACATCACGAAGCTTTCACAGGTTAGCATTAATATTTAAGTAATTAATTAATTAATTAATTGTTTATTAACATTTTTAGGCACTTAAATCTCCATAGATTACTATCGTATTTTACGATATTTATACTTCTTAACTATCACAACTATTTAGTAAACACAAAAATATGTTTTATTAATTAAAAATCATAGAAATTTTTTATGTATTTATATTTTCATATTCGCTTGATTAATTCAATTAAAACCTAGCCTGAGCACCACACAAAAGGGATATTTTTCTTAGTATTTGTTTTTATTGTGTGTAAATAATACAACTTTTCTTCTATGACAAATTGAATTTCAGATTTCCAGCAAGTATTGATTTAAGAGAAGAATGGATGAAAAGTTGCGGTTTGAAGTCAATAGCTAAAACAGCATGTATTTGCAGTGATCATTTTCATATCACAGCATTTAATGATGAACCTGGTGAACGAAAAAGACTTAAACTTAATGCTGTACCATTCTCTACTAACTTGATAAGCTGTTTTATTGATAATTCTGAATATGACTCAGGTATGCACTTAAATATGAATGATGTTAATTTCCCATATAAATTTGGTAAAAAAATTCTACCCCTAAAAGTGGCAATATAGGGGATGAAGTTTTTAATGGAACTAATAGTACAACATTGAGATTATGATATTACTAAGTCCACTCAAAAGGGTGAAAAAAAAGCTATTCTAGAGAAAAGTGATCAGTGTTTCAATCCTTCATCCCACATTAGAATGTGGGATGAAGGATTGAAACACAGATCACTTTGTTAATACTTTAATACTATAGTAAAATTATTTTGTATATGCTGTTGTGGTCATAAATCATAGCTCGGTCTCAGCCTGGCCATGGCGGTGAGCATGTTGCGTGGGTGCAACGCCATTGCCGATAACAACAAATTTAATTTTAGATATAAGTTATTATATTTATTTTTAATGTTACTTATTACATTCCAAACATTTGTACTTATAGATTTTTTAATACATAGATACCTAATTAATAATTTATTTTAAATCATTATTATTCTCATTTTAATAAATACATTGTTTTATCTTTTTTTTTTATAGTATAAGGGTGAAAAACGAACACACAGTCCACCTGATGGTAAGTGGTTGCTGCAGCCCATAGACATCTACATCTATCCTCGTTTGCGAATCAAAATGCAGATGCGTTGTCACCCGTGAGGACTAAGATGGAATACCTCATTCCCAGTAAAAAGGGCCTCCGGCCACCTGCACTCACCAAGCGAAACGCAGAGGTAAACCTCTACTTCACGCTGGTATTCTGTGAGGTCGTGGTACCACCCCGGTTCGAGCCGGCCCATCCGTGCGACAGCAAAAGCTGCCGTGTGGCTCTACCACTGTTAAAAATTATTTATTTTTATTTCATTTTTATCACTGTTATATCCAATAAAACACCGTAATTTAGGTAAATACGTGTATTGTGCTAGGTAGCAAAACTAATGACAAACTGGTTGACTTAACTGACATTATTTCTTAACAACGTTATGCAAGTACCCACCTTCATAACTATTTATAACAATCTATGATATAACATACCTTTCCCCCAAGTATGTGCATACAATATTCATTACTTACAAACTCAACAACCAACTTCTAATACATCATCTATATAAACTAAATATATATTTCTATTATAATCAGTAAACTTAAGCTATAAAATTATTACTAGGTCTCTCATATGGTAACTTAGAATGAACATTCATTTTATTCCTAATTTTTCCCCCAGAATAAGTTACTTCCATATTAGTTGGTATACCTAACATTTCCGCCCATTTCTCCTGACTAGGTATTTCAATAATTTCTTCTCTTACCTCATTATCTGTCTTATCTTTTTCTAAGTTATAGCCAGTAATTTCCTCTGCTAAGTCATTGTCCATTATTTCACTATTATCTGTGATATCTTGCTTCTTGGACATCTCTTCATCCTCTCTCCGGGTTATCGCACTCATTTCAGATTGTCTTCTGTTAATTAATTGATCAATATGTCTATTTATCAAAGATCCATCTTCTGTAGTAATCTCATAACTAGATGGTCCATTTCTATTTACTATAGTTCCTGGTAACCATCTTGGCCCATTACCATAATTCCGATACATAACATTCTGGCCTGTCTCTGATTCCCTATTAATTTTTTGAGCGTTACTAATAATTTGTTGTGTTCTTTTTCGTTGCTGGCGATTATCAGGATGTAGTGTATCCAGCAAAGTACGTAGGCGCCTATTCATTAAAAGTTCCGCTGGACTCTTTTTAGTTGCTGTACAAGGTGTAACACGTAAACCTAGTAAAATGTTAGGAAGTTTGATATCCCATGGGATGTCATCCATCTTTCGTAGTTTATCCTTAATGGTTTGGACCATCCTTTCAGCTAAACCATTAGTAGCCGGGTGATAAGGTGCTGTAGTGACGTGTTTAATTTTGTTCGCTTCAAGAAATATTTTCATTTCTGTCGATACAAATGCTGTTCCATTATCTGAAACTAAAGTTTCACACAATCCATGTGTTGCAAACATATTCCTTAAATGTCGAATAACTGTTCCAGAAGTCATATTGTTTACAATAAAAACCTCAGGCCATCTCGAATAGGCATCGACGACAATCAGAAATGTCTTGTTTTGAAAAGGTCCGGCAAAGTCTACATTTATTCGAGACCATGGTTTAGTTGGTGTAATCCATTCACAGCTTGTTTTAGGGGGCATGTGCCTGTTTTCTAAACATTTTGAGCATTCCCCTACTAAAACTTCAATGTCATGATTCAATTGCGGCCACCACACGTAACTTCTGGCCAATGCCTTTGTTTGCACGACCCCAGCGTGTGTCTTATGTAAGGCACCTAGGCAAGGCTCACGCAACGATGGTGGCACCACTACGCGACAACCAAATAAAATACATTCTTCATGAAATGAGAGTTCAGTACGATGTAACCAATACGGACGCAGCTCACTGTCCGTGACTCTGTCAGGCCAACCGCTTAGTACGTAATGACTTACTCGCGATAAAGTTCGGTCTCTCTTCGTTGCCGATGCTATGAGATCAACATCCACTGGAAAATCAGCAGGCGTCTCCGCCATAAGCAAAACATCACAATGCTGTTGTTCTGGTTGATCCGGTACTGGCTGTGGCCATCGACTTAAACCATCCGCATTTCCAATTAGTCTACCTGGCTTATAAACAATATTGTAGTTGTGTGACGTGAGTATTAACGCAATTCTAGTTAACCGAGGTGACAAGATCGCTGGCATTGGCTTTTGAGGATCAAATATACCAAGCAATGGCTTGTGGTCTGTAACTATTGTGAAAGGCCTTCCCATCAAATAATTGTGAAATTTAACTACCCCAAAAATGATAGCAGTGGCCTCTTTATCCAATTGGGAATAACGCCTCTCATGCGCATGTAAAGTCCTAGAGCCCATCGCAACAGGTCGCTCTGTTCCGTCCTCCATTATGTGTGATAATACAGCGCCGACGCCGTACTCAGAGCTATCACAGGTAAGAACCAATGGCTTATTAAGATCGTAATGAACAAGAGTCAACTCTGAAGAAAGTAAACGCTTGGCGGTATCGAAACTATTTTGTTCCCGGTCAGTCCATTGCCACATCTGTGACTTATCGAGTAATCTATGTAGAGGTTCAAGAATAGTTGCTTTGTGAGGTATGAACCTCTCGTAAAAGTTATAGAGGCCTAAAAATGCTTGTAACTGCTGTATATTTTTAGGTTCCGGAGTTTTAAGAATCGATTCAACTTTGCTCTGAGCTGGATGAATACCATCCGCATCGATCACAAAACCTAAAAACTCCACGCGTCTTTTAGCAAATTTACATTTGTCTTTATTAAGACGCAATCCTGCTCTTTCAATGCGATCCAGTACTATTTCAAGACGTTGAGTCATTTCTGTCAATGTGCGGCCGCTAATGATGATGTCATCAATCAGCACGGCTACACCTGGTATGCCTGCTAGCAGTGCTGTCATCAAGCGTTGAAATATTCCCGGACAGGCCTTCACGCCGAATGCCAATCTGTGTACGGTGTACAATCCTTTGCATGTATTCAAAGTTAAAAACTTCGCTGTGGCGTCTGTGACCACCACTTGCGTATATGCTCTGTCTAAATCAAGTGTCGTGTAATAAGAACCACCTGTAATAACTGCAAAGACTTCACTAGCCGTGGGCATTGGGTATGTATCTGACTCAGTAGCTTGATTTACCGTACTTCGATAGTCTCCACAAAGTCGTATGTCTCCATTTTTTTTTACTATAGGAACTACTGGTGTCGCCCATTCTGAAAAAGATATGGGGCGAAGTACCCCCTCCCCAACTAAACGATCGATTTCCTTTTCAATCCTTTCTTTTAACGCAAAAGGCACTGGTCGAGCTTTTAAAAATTTAGGAACGGTATTAGGCTTAATTTGTATGTTTACAGGGTTCCCTCTATATGTACCAAGCCCTTCTCTGAAAACAGTATTATATTTATTAAGTACTTTATCAATATCTGTCAAATCAATGTCAATCATATGAATAGTATTTAAAGTAATATCCAATGCTTTAAACCAGTTTCGACCTAATAGATTTGGGCCCGTGCCCTTAGCTATAACAACATTCAAATTACACTTAATGTCTTTAAATTGCACTTGCACTGTAGCCTGTCCCATTACTTGTACCGGAGAGTTGTTCCACGTACGTAACTTGTTAGGCATTATGTCTAGTATAGTTCGAGGGTGTAATTGCATCCATGTGTTTTCATTCAAGATTGAGAAAGCAGATCCAGAGTCCACCTCCATGATCACTGGCACACCATCCAATAGAAGTTTTATTCTATACGCCGGTACCCGTGAAGTCAAACTGTCCAAATTATAAATGCCGTTAAGATGTGTGTCTAACTCTTGTGTATAATTTATATTGCCCTTACGGCTTTTCTTTTTAGCTGAGCAAATTTTTTCAATATGTCCCTTTTTCTTGCAAAAATTACAAACAGCATTTATGAAACGACACACACCACCATGACGATCGCCACATCGGTAACAAAATATAATATTAGTTTGCGATTTCACGGCATTGACATCCATCGGTTCGCATGATGATGATGTTACCGCTGCAGTAGTTGAAAATAAATCTCTGGAGACAGGAAAGTTAGTGCTGGTCACACTTTGCATCATCCGGACATCCCTCACTGCACTTTCAGATGATAGCATGGCATCCACCACATCCGAATACTGTAAATTGTCTTTTTTCAACAATTCATACTGTAACTTCTTATCACTCATACCGCACACAAGTCTGTCACGTAGCATGCGTTCCAAGTCCGTAAAATTGCACCCTGCACTTATTTTTCTAATATGTGCGATATATTCTGATACTGATTCATTTTCTTTTTGATCGCGTTTATAAAATTGAAAAGACACTGAAATCTCGTTTGGTTTCGGACTATAATGCTTCGTAAGAATCGTTACAATTTCCGCGAATGTCACATCACTAGATTTTCTAGGTGTAATTAATGCCAAAACAGTCTCATATACATTTGCACCACAAACTGTGTAAAAATTCGCCCTTTGAACCGCGTCCGAGACGATTCCGTTTGCCTCAAAACAGTACTTCAGTCGTTCTATATAATTGTCCCAATTATCACTTTGTAAATGAAATTCGTGAAAATTCACTGATTTACGTTCCATTGTTCCACTTTTTATACTTCGTCGCCACTGTTATATCCAATAAAACACCGTAATTTAGGTAAATACGTGTATTGTGCTAGGTAGCAAAACTAATGACAAACTGGTTGACTTAACTGACATTATTTCTTAACAACGTTATGCAAGTACCCACCTTCATAACTATTTATAACAATCTATGATATAACAATCACTAACCCACATAATGACAAAACTAAATACACTATCGATAATGCTTATCGACAACAATAATGCGCATCACTATGCTTGCCCCTAAGACCCGTGAGTAGGAGAGTGAAATACTCCGATGATTTATGACCCAAACTGCACGCCCAAAATAATTCTAGTATAGTTGATATTTTAATACTACACTCACAATGTTCTTCAGACAAGTAACATTTACTAATGCTTCTCCAAAACTAGTTTTTCAATGTGCTTTTTCCAGCCGTTATTTTATCCCCTCCATTACATATTATTATTATTATCCATTTATTACATTTACCAGTGTTGCCATTATAGTTTATAAATTACAATAACTACATTAATTTAATAGAACCTTATATAAAATAATTTTACATTCTCAAATTGGTGCTAAGACATATTGTATATAGGAACCAAAGCCCTGACTTTTAAATGTGAAATAATTTTATATTTTTTTTTAGTAGTTTGTAGTCGGCTTTAACTTTTTTATTAAAAGTTTTTCTTTGACATTGTATTTGTTTACGCCTGAACGCTGATTTCGGGATTGACGTCAGAGGGCGCGCGGCTCGGTGCCATACCGGTTTGACGTTCGGGCTAGTTTGGGTGTGGCGAGAGCGCGCGAGCACAAAGGAGTCGTCTGCAAGCTGTGCTAACGTCAGCACGATGTCAATTTTTTGCGGGAACGCGGAATAGTTTACGCGTCTAGTAAATATACTGTCTAGGATTTGTAACGCGCATTCCTAGTTTGATAGCCTTTCCCGGGACTCATTGTGTCTGACTCAGAATCTGTATAAGTGCATTCGACAATATTAGCTAGTGCGCCATTTGGTATTCTAGAAATAACGGTTGCCACGCGAAGCGGTAGTGACCTTTGATCCGGACATTCGTATTCGGGCGGTGTGTTACGTTTTTGTTTATAGTAACGGGATCTCATATAGACCGACACTCCGTGTTCGTTTTGTGTGTTAAGCTTTATAACAAACGAGAGTTAGTTGCTTCTTTAAGTTAGTTAATCGTACGATAGAATTAATGGACTGTCATCGTGAAGAACAAAGAAAGTGACTGTGGACGGCGCCGCGGAAGGTTACCTCAATTTGGAGTGGTGCTGACGTCCGGGCTGCTGCCGACGGCAAAGGTCTAATAAGGTCAATCACCACCAGTCACACCCAGATACACATCACAGCACTTGATTTCCTTTACACCACACAACCACATGCGACCTGACCGAATCCTGAGGGACCAGTCGCCTTGGATATAGGTAAGTAAGCTCGGTTTAATATTCTCCCTGTTGAATGGCAGTAGTATAGAACGCTCCCCCTTATTGTTTATTGTAATTAGAGATTTTCCACTTTGGCTTTAGGAAGCCCGACCTACATCTGCTTTTAAGGTCTTCCGCTATGGGCCCGGAAGATTCTACTCTTATTTAGGTAGCTGTAGGCCGTAACAGTATGTAAGCCACAATTTGTTGAAGAAGACAGAACTTCTGTGATTATTAAGACCATTTTGCAGTGCATGACCAATATGAACATCAAGTGAATGATATTTTAAAAACCAATAAATCAAAACGATAATCATAGTGTAAGTGCAAATATTCAGGACTTTATTGCAGCTATTGACTCTCTAGCTACCAGGTATAATTTTATGAGCGGCACCGCAGCTTGTTGTTTAAAACAAAAAGCTTACTTATGAGTTAATAGAGCAATTGAGGTTTAACTATCAAGGGACATTTTCTGATTTGTACCTGGAAACAAGTGTGCTGAAGCAAATTCGACTCAAGTTACAGAACCTATGGATATTACCAAAATGAAGGTGATCACATGTCACCATTTTACACTACCACACAGTGAGAGCGAAAGGTGGCCTTTCAAAATGTTCTTATTGTAAGAAGTTTGGACAGATAGCACTAGCCTTTATGAAGAAATCTGGCAAGTTTGCACCAGGTAGCAAGTTCAACTTCAAATAGGGAAAATGAAAAATCTGAACATGGATATCTTTGTCAGATAATATTTGACCACAATTTAAAGTAGATGCAATTATCAATAGTGTTCAAGTTAGCATGGAAGTGGATGCAGGTGCTTCAAAGATAATTATGGCTGAAAATACATACTATAAGCTGTAGTAGGTTCCCCCACCTTTAGAGGCGACAAGCATGAAGTTAGTTACATGGAGTTGTCATGAAATGAAGGCAAAATTTTGGTCTGATTTATTTAACCCATTCGTTGCGGTGCACGCACAACGGCGTAATTAAAATTGTTCTTAGGCGGATGACACCGATCGGCGTAAATTATATTTTAGCCATAACTTGGCCAATTTCTATTCTAAACGGATATACTTTTTATATGTTTTATGCATGTTTTACATACATACAACATCATTATAGTCACCGTTTCTGTAAATAATGATTTTATAAAAAAAAAAAAAATATCCACAGGTGCGGAAAACGCCAAACGGCGTCTTCCAGAGGTTATCAATATTGAAAACATTTGGATTAAATATTTATTTATTATTTATTTTAGCTAGGTATTTTATTTTATTGAATTAAAAACAGTAATAGGTTCATACTATGAGCAATCTTCATTTCATAGTTGATAGTTAAACGTTTGGCTGCGTTAATATGATTATTATTTGTATGAGTATTCAGTAGTCCATCAGTGATTGTCGCAAAATGGTGTTACGACATATAAGTAGGTACGTGTATATGAAATAAAAATGAAACTTATGTCGTCCACATCCTTCTGGTGACGTACTTTCCTCACAAGATTTATTATATTAACATATGTTACAGATCTTTTTTTTTCAATATAACGAGATCTAATTCGTAAGCGATCAGTTGAGCAAACGCTTTGTTTTAGTGGTCAGTTGGTTCCCCGTTTTCAAAATTTAAATTGGGTAATTGTGATACATCACATTTATACTCATTAGAATCGAAAATGTTGCGTTTATATAAATTTGCACCCTGAATGTCCTGTGACGATACCTGTGTCTCTTTATTTTGTCTAGATGTGACTTTTTTCGCATTAACATTATCATCTTCATCATAACATGGCTTTCTTTTCAGCGAACCATATTGTCTCACACCGTCACTCAATAAACTCAGTGACGATGGTCGAGCCTCAACTTCAAGATAAAGTCATTATTAATTATTAAGTGAAACAAATTACGATGCACTAGAAATAGTATGTAACTGAAAACCCCTCTCTTCCTTTCAACTACTAATTGAAAACACTATTTATTATACTTAATACATTTAAAATACTAGACTAAATACTATTATTAAAAGTATTTTAACTTTATAAAATCAGAAAAAAGGTTTGTAATCCCTAGTCATATTTCAATAATATTAAAAATATTAATATAAAAACCAATTTCGTTATTCAAAGTGTAATTAGAAATCTTTCTATAAAGTGGAAAATATCCCTTACTATACTGAATAGAATAGAAACAAATTCACTCACTATTTGCAGCCATATTTATCGTAAATAGGAAATTGATATTATTTTTAATAAAACTTCACTGTTAATCACAAAATAACTTACTTTTGTAAGCCAAGTTACTTTTGTATATACAAAAGTAACTTGGCCACTGAGTACACAGGCACTTGCACATGGCGTAGACTAATAAGCGTCAATAAAATTCTGTCTCAACAAGCAAGAATCAAGTGTGCTGAAAACGCCGATCGGTGTCAAAGTGTTTAAATATGAGATACGTCCGATGCCTATCGGAGTAAGTTCTTTAAACCGCCCGCCTCTACGTAATTAGAGCGATTTTTTGAGCTGCCTTGAATGGGTTGAAGGAGGACTTGGGATAGTATAAAGTGTTGTTGAAGGCACGTCTTGTACCATTTCCTCTTATAGCAAGTCGAGGAACAATTCACATGCCTGGTGAATGAACGTGTTAGATCAAATAAAACTCCG